CTGCCTCAAGTGTCATGGCGCACCAAGCCACATGAGGCCAGTAACTAGTAATGGGTCCAGCATTCTGATTGGTTGATCATGTTCTCTATTTCCCTTAGTTACCTGACGTCAGTATATAACAGGGTTTTCCTTTAACTCTCGTGAATATAAAACGTTTTTTTTTTTATTGTTACACAAATAGCAAGAAATACCAGAACCTTCTGAAATAGGAGGTCTAATCAGGCAGAGTGAATGGACATGGCTTTATTTCGGTATTACAGACACGTTTGCGTAGATTGAAACTTTTCAAATTACGTCACTTAGTCATGTGCCTTTGGGCTGGAATCCCGGCCCAGTGGAACAATATGGCAATTACTAGTTACCTGTGTCCTACTTCTTGCTCGCAAGGGACGCCGGGAACCAGCGAAATACTATTACAAGGCCGCTCTATCAAATATAAATGTGAGGACGCTCTATCAAATATAAATGTGAGGACGCTCTATCAAATATAAATGTGAGGCCACTCTATCAAATATAAATGTGAGGACGCTCTATCAAATATAAATGTGAGGCCACTCTATCAAATATAAATGTGAGGACGCTCTATCAAATATAAACTGGTCTAAATACAGTGGAAACTTACCTTATACTTTGCCTTGTTTGCTGTTGTCACGCTAGCTGATGTAGCGGACGTCGTACTGCCGCTAGAACCTTTCCTATTTTTTGCTATATCAATTTTATCCATTTTGCCTCCACTTAGTTTTCTGACGGGACTGGTTAGCCACTTCCTGTGATGTAAAACAAAACAACATTGTAGTAAATTTACATAATACCCATAAACTCTTTGAACAACATTTTTCACTAACATATCTCAATATTATTTAATATTATGCGAAAGCACTAAGCGACTGACAAACAAAATAGCCCTGCCAATAAAAAATAACACTGTGACGTCGAAGTTACACCCAAGATGGACAATCTCTTTTTTTCCAAAACGATATATAATGCAAGTTCATTGATAAATTATTTAAATGTAATCTTAAATTCAAAATTATGTAACTGAAAGCTTTGGCGATCAGGCGGGCTTGCCTTAACACAGGGTTTAAAGCAGCTATCCAATTAAAGACTTGAATTAATGCATTGGGTCACTCATGGCATCCGTATATAGTAGTGATGAAAATTCAACGTTTTAACAACATGGTGCCGAAGTCATTCAAGCAAGCTGTGAAGCGTTGCTTTTTAAATTTTAACTGCGTTGAACTAGGAAATATTCCAAAATTTTTTTAATTGCTAGACAATTATGATTTCTGTTTTTTTTTGGAAACAATTTGAATGCAAATTAAAAGGATACAAGTTTAAATCTTTTTGACCGCAAAAAATAAAATCATTTCAATATATTTTTTTCTTTTTATTGAATCAGATGTACTGGAATTAATAGGTTTTACAGTACCAAGCATAGACAAACTAGTTAAAAATGGTTTCTAAACACCAATATTGGAGACCTTTTTCTTTGATTGTCCACCCATCTTATGCTTGGCTGTGAAACAAGGTTATTTTTTTAGAACTACTCAGATCTGCATGCTGCCACCAAAAATCTGGTAAATTAAGTCAACATCGTTATGATTTATTGTATTAATTAATAAAAAAAACACCATGAGATTTGTGTTGCATTAGAAACAGTTGTCATGACGACTGACCTTAAGCTTCCTCTTCTCTTGTTACTTGGTGATGTATTTTGATTCACAGAATATGTACTTGCCGAAGTACTGCCGTCACTGGAAGCACACGGGGTGACCGGAACGTCTATTGACACAACAAAACGTGAAAAGTTAGTAAGAGGTGGCACACAAAAAACATGCACATGTAATAATTTCAGGTGCTCGAAACAGCCACAGCACAATGAAAAGACTAAACAACAAGGTTAGGAATACAGAAAGATGGATATAATGTCTTGTACCAAAAAAAACCCACAAACCATATGAAATCAGATTACTATAATACGGAACACAATATGTGTGGTGTCTCAGGACTGAATGATAAAATAGCCCAGGTGTTTCCAGGAAATTATGTCAATGGATGCAACCCAAAACACTGTAAAAATGATGAAAAAATTGTTCAAAACCATAACTGACAGCTGTCAATAAATTATCTGGAGTGAAATCAAGAAGCTCTTGCAGGTATTGGTAGTGGGGTTGGTTGTTGTGATAAAGAGTCACACCCTTCAGTTGAACACCCCTACCCTAATTTTAATGGTTTCCCCCTTTATATATACGTACCACAGACTATATTAATAAATATGCAAGTAGGATTTGATTTTTGTAAATAAGGATTACATATGCGAGTATAAACGCTACATAGGTACATACCAATGGTGTAACAAGAGAGACCACATTGGCTATACATCATGGGGGGAAAAATACTACGATAATACAAGTACACAGAACCCCTCCATCACAAAAGAATTACACCCCTCACAAAAAAAAGCATTCTCCCCTAATAATAACATATCACTTTGCGTTACTGGTACCATAGTCTCTCCATCACAAAAGAATTACACCCCTCACAAAAAAAAGCATTCTCCCCTAATAATAACATATCACTTTGCGTTACTGGTACCATAGTCTCTCCATCACAAAAGAATCACACCCCTCACAAAAAAAGCATTCTCCCCTAATAATAACATATCACTTTGCATTACTAGTACCATAGTCTCTCCATCACATGATAAAGGAAATGTGCCAGTACATACACGTACTATTCTTTACAAATATATTTCTCAGCAGGGCTTGGTTTTCATATGCACAAGTACATGGAACATATGGTAGACATTTGAGGGAGCGTCACTCAACTATGTAGCATTTTAGTGGCATTTCAAATACTGTGATAATATAGAAACCCCTAAAACTACTTGGAAACAAATCATACAAGTCAATATTAAGAACATTAAGACATAAATAAACATCTATTTTTATCTTAAGTGGGTATTATAGCCTAGATAGCTGTCATAGTTAACAGAGGATTACTGATAAGAGAACTATTTTAAGACCAAGTGAAGTAAGTACTTACAGGAAGTCAGATACAAGACACTGATTATTGATTCAAACAACTACATTGTAGGTCACAACATTTCAATTTTTTTTTTATCAATTTTTACATTACTTTGAGTTAAAAAACAGAATAAATTTGCTTTATAGACAGGTTTCAGTCAAACATGGTGATATATAAGGCACTGATTACTAACTCAACTAACTGCATTGCATGCCTCAAAGTCATTTTTGGTGATTAATCCAAAATTACCATAGACATTATCGAAAATATGTACAAATGGTGGGAAAAAGTCTGGCATTCAAAGGGATACATGTTAATCAAACACTCATCAGACAAAAATACTAATGAACATATGGAATAATAATAATATATTTTACAAATAATAACAATAAATTCTCTAACTGAATTTTTTTTTTAAACTGGATTAAATTGTTTTAAAATTCCCTGGGGGATAGAATTGGACAATGACAGTGATAACATTCAAAAATTATGGTTAAACATTCAAAACAGAGCATGACAATGACATGACCTAGTTTACATATTAGGTTCAAGTTGTATGCCAAATGAGGTCATCAACAGCTCTTTAGACTTGGAGATTGAAAGAAAAAATAGTAAAAAACTGTAAAGGGTTGTTGTTACATTTTCAAATGTGTGTAGGTTTTTCTTCTATAATTTTTCCAGTTTTTTTTTTTTTAAATTTTCTCAATGCAGATTTGAACTTTTCAAATTTTTGTTGCTTTTTTACAAAATAATTTACTCAAATTAAAAAAAAAAAAAAAAAAAAAATTGATCTTGGCTTGTAGGCAATATAAAATTACTGGTAAGTCTATTTGTTTCAAAATTAAGAAAAAATTGTAAAAAAAATAAATTTGAATATTTCAAATTTTGGCAAAAAAGGTGATTACAATTCCAGAAGAGTAGGAGCAGATATTCTACAAATCCAAAATTCTGTTAAACAGTTTCATGCTCTAATAATTTTTAAACAAACAGATCCTTATTTGTTAAAGTAGAAATATTTATAAAACATAAAACGTCAATAAAATAAAATGCTGGTACCAAATGTAGTTGCTTGTTGCATGATAAAAACAAATTGAAGAAAGCGTAGAAAGAACTCTTGTGTTCTGACAGTATTGGAGACATATTAAACATGATTTTACATCTGTGGTTTTCAGTCTCATTTACTCCAGAGCACCTCTACCACAAGGTCAATGTAAATCTGATTTTTTTGAGAAACCATTTTTTGAAAAAGTCAGCATCCATGTACAAAGGTTCATTGAAATGTGACGATTAGTAATAATTATGCAAATTTGGTAATTAATATGCACAGACATTTACCCAAAATTTATCAGGTCTGTGCATTCTCCCATGATATCTATGTACAGGTTTCATTTAAATGTGATGATTAGTACTTGAGATATCAGTGGAAAAGCCAAAAAATAATGAATAATCATTATGCAAATTAGGTAATTAATATGCAAAGATTTAACCCAAAATCTAATGCTTTCATTGAAAACCAGCATATGGTTCCTGAGATAACAATCGATTTATAGTTGAGCACATAGACACACACAAACAAACAGACAGACTAACAACTTTCAATTGTGTACTTCGCACACAGGAGTAAAACAATCTGAAAAATCATTATAGCGTTAAACAGCATATCACTTTGCAAAGGGAGAGTTGCAACTCACCCAACGCACGCACACCACTACCCAAAAGTACATGTATCTTTTGACATTACAGAAGTACATTTCTATTCAAAGCATAGGCAAGGTAGAAATATTTGTTTTGATTGTACACTGACCTCCCTAGGTATTTTTCACATTTTTGCCATCACTCCCATTAAGCATAATTTAATAGCAGTACTAGATCTGGAATTTCTTTTTAATACCACAGGCTGTGAGTTCACCTTCACCTGTGGCCAATGGGAAATGTGTCCTTTTGATTCAAATTAACAAATAAATTAAAAAAAATATTCATAATATTGCACCAAATTTATGGCAGAAAAATAATGGAGCACAAAGGTTTGATAACAGTAAATGCAATGGCACGCTGTCTATGCTGGATCTACTACATAGCGTGCTCTCACAGTGTGAGGGCGCTTTATCAGCCTATGCTTTCATCAACCACCACAAGATTTGTACAGCATGAAAATTGATGGTAAAACACGAGTTACTAATGGAGAAAATACAGTACACCTTAATCAGTCTCCCAGAAATGAGTAAATGCCAGGATCAGGTCAGACACCATGATAGTTTACTTAGAATGGCGTTATAAGCTGACTTAACTCAATTCGTTTCAACGGGTCATAAACTCTGTCATAAACACCTCAGCACACTTACTATTTAAACAGTAATCTATTTATAAAAGCGTAAATTGCATGATTGCGAGTAATTTATAGACAAGTAGACATATTACATACTGTTAAGTTAAGGAAGTATGATCCAATCCGTGGAAATTTTATAGAATCATAACTTGAAATTTTTTTTTTTTTTTTTAGTTTTCTGCCCAGTATGTCAGAAAATGAACAAAAAAAAAGAATATGTCACTGAATTAGCCTCCATGGCAACTGTTATATCCTTCTTGTTATGTTAATGGCCAACATGGCACCAATTTTGAATTATACAAATCTGAAAAGCAAAACGACTTTTGTGGTGTTTTAACTGGATAAAAGATCAAAGGTAACTTTTTTTTTACCTATTTTTGTAAAGCGTCAAATTTAATCAAAATATGCTAACTTGCGAATACAAGGATTATTGGGGCTGTAATTCGGTTTATAAAATGTTGAATAAACCATATTGCTTGATAACAGTAATGAATATATTGATAAAGCAAAATCTCTAAAAACAACAAACCTTTTAGACAGAGTTGTGACCCCCAATTCTAACCCTTGTTCCCCAGCACCTCATCTTTGTAAACACTATCAATCACGCCAAGAACCATATGTAGACAAACACCATGACATCTTCACCAGCCAAAGTCCGTTCATTCAACCACTGCCTCACCATTATACCCCAACTGATCAAGTTCAGTGAGGAAATTTTAAAGTGCGCCCTCTCCAGCAATTAGACATGCAGTCAT